GTCACTTTTTAAAAAGAATTATTTAAATTTTATTTATTATTATTATTTTAATTTGCTATAAGACATGTGTGTTCACCAGAGAGAGAGAGAGAGAGGGAAAGTGAGAAAGCGAGCTGCCAGATCCAGGACTCAAAGTGTGGTTGGCCATGTGAGTGTCCAGTGCTTTAAACACCACATGACCTGCTCGCCCCATGATCACTTTTACAGTATCAATCACATTCCCACAATTATTGTCCCTACTAGATCACTTCCTACATATGAGGTCTTTACCAACAGCCTTCCTAGTCTGTGGCCTTGGATCCCAATAGATCCTATCAGGGTGTCTGGAAAGACATGACATATTTTTCCATGCAAAAATGCATCATAACTTTCCAAACAGCCCAATACTTCGCTGCAGCCTATGCCTTGAACCAATGAAACTACTAACTTTTCTCTATCCTTACTCTTCTCATCTCCTTCCTCAAATCCTACCCATCACATGAGGTCCTATTCAAATGTAACCTTCACTCAAGCTTTCTTTGAGTACCCCATTAGAAATGGTCACACTAGGGGCCAGCAGCTGGCGTGGTGGTTAAAGGCTCTGGATTTCCACATGGCTGACCACGGGTCTAGTCCCAGACCTGGCAGCTTGCTTTCTCACTTTCCCTTTCTCTCTCTCTCTATCTCTCTCTGGTCAAATTAAATAAATAATAATAACAAATGGAATTAAATAAATAAGTAAATCTTTAAAAAAAAAAAGAAATGGTCACACTCTTTTTCAACTTTTTTAGTTATACTTCAAAAGTATAGCATGTTACATTTTATGTTGGCACAGGGCCTAGCATAAGCCAAGGGACTTCAAAAAGTTTGTAGAAAACTATAAGTAAAGAACAAGCTACTTTTGGTATAAATTAATTTTTAAAAAACATGTAAAACATTTTCATAATATACATTTCCCATTAATTATTTGAAGAATTCCTCATTTAACATTCAGTAAATATAAACTGTTTTTATCATTGAACAAACTTATCTTCCTAATCTGGCTGTAAACTCCTTGATGGCAGAGATTCCTAAAGAGTTATTCAAAGAAGGCTTTTTCTGGGCTCAGGATAACAATAATTCATTAAAGCATGATATCCAAAGTGTTGGCCAACTTAATAGCTAATCCACCAGAAAATCATCTAGCACACAATGTTATTATTGTTTCCAATAAAAGAAAACATACTATTTAAAAATTTAATATAAACAAGGACCAGCAGTTGATGTAATGGCTATGTCACTGAACTCCCATGTAGTCGACCACAGTTCGAGTCCAGGACCCGGTGGCTTAAGCACACACTGGGCACATGTGCGTGCATGTCCAAGATCTCGAGAGGAGAATGGAGAAAGGATTGCAGCCATCCACCCTGGGGGGGATTTCTTACCTTCTGTCTCTCTGTCTCTCTCTGTCTTTCTGGCAAGTGCATGCACCTTATAGCAAAAACCTCTCAAAAAAATTTAATATAACCAAATATAAAACCTACTGTAATTTATAATACTGAATTATAAAACATTACTTACAGGTAATTTCTTATAACTCAAAATTGCTCTTCTAGCAATAGTTATAGGAGATAACAGATATGGAAAGTATATTTTATGTTACTCACACATATTTTAGGAGTTGTTTGACTTTAAAAGTTATTAAGCTAATAAAGCTTATATAACTTCATAAACATTCCCCAAAAGATATCCACAATTTTACAAATGACCAGTGAGAATATACTCTCAGCAGAAATTCTAAGTCTTGGATACAACTAAACTTCAATTAATGGCCTGAACTGACATCCTACCTGGGTCACTAACTATGTAACATAATCATGCCACCATACCTTTGATCATCAGATGATTTAAAAATGAATATGATAAAAGACCCTTATCTGTCATGTAAAGCTGCTATGAGGTTCCTAGAAAACAGATTCTGTAAATACGATATAGATTCACTTTATTTGCTTACCCATTCAACAAACATCTGTACCTATGCCCATCCTTGTGCCAAGGTCTGAGACAAGGTCAAATAAGATGCTCTCCGGTTCATCTTGCAACCCAGGAGGAGACAGACATGTAAACAAAGCAGTGTTCCACATTAAATGGTGGAAAAAAGGACACCATTCAATGGAACAGGAGGAAGTACTCAGTTCTGACTGAAGGAAAAGGAAGCTGGCTACCAATGGCTTCATACAAAGAGTCTACATCTGAACTCTGCTTGCCTTTCTGGTCTCACCCTTCATTTTTTCCTTTAATTGAGCTATGTCTGTTTCTTTTTAGTTCAGTTTTCTATCTACGTTTCTAAAATGTGAAAAGCTCTCAAAACCCACACTTTTTTTTTTTTCCTAATCTACTAGGTTGTTGGGAAAGTCATGAACTATTTTTCTATGCAAAAATGCATCATGACTTTCCCGATAATACTGATGGTAAAACCTCACCTGAACTGATAAAAGGTACTTCATCGTCAATATTTTTTCTACTTGTTAGAAGATGCTAGTGAATGATCACATCAGTCACTGTCACAGGGTTTCAGTCATCCTTGGCTGTTCTCTCTCTCACCCTCCAAACCTACTGGTCACCAAGCCCTGTCAGTCCTAACCCTCACAAATGTATGCTATCTATTCCCTCCTCGCTATCCCTCCTGTCACATCCATGGTCAAGGCCTTCACTCTCTCACCCAACAGCATTAGAATTACCTTATTCTAACAGTACTCCTCAGAATTCAGCCTCCACATCATGGTCTGCTTGGTCCTTTTCTAAAAGACATCTGACCATGTAGTTTCCTTGCTTAAAATATTCTGATGTCTCCACACTGTCTGCAGGAAAAGCTCAACTTCTTGAGCATAGGGCCGTAGGCTTGCCAAGATCCAGCTACCATCTATCTCTTAGAGTTTGTTTCCTGCACTCTACGCAACAGTTACTACAGCCACACATGAATGTGTTTCCCATGAGCGTCCATCTGTTTCACGCCCCTCTGCCTTCATATAAGCTGTCCCTCTGCCTCCACATGCTCTTTCTTCTCCCTCTTTCTTGAATGTTCACTCTCTTCTCTTGCTTATCTGTTAGGATTACCTATCAACCTCAGATCCAATGGAGGAAAATACCTCATTACGCATCCTTTCCGTCCCCCATTCCAGTCAACAGTGATCATACACCTACTTTGTGTATTTCTACATAGAAATGTAATGTCTACTCAGAAGACTGAGTCTCCTGGCACACCAGGGTCATTACCTATTCCTAATATGTAACACTGGACTTAGCACATAGTAGGTGCTCAATTAAAGCACCTGAAAATAAAAAGATATTCTCAATACTTTCAACATTCCCAGACTACGTTTTGCTCTATTCCTTCATTTCAGTTCTCCTCCCATGGTAGCTCTATTTTTTACCACCCAAAACCATTTTCCATTATTTTCTCTAATTTATACTCTTCTTTCCTGCTTCATTACCATAAGAGAAGGAGAAAGAATTTGGGAAATGGCAAAAGCCCTACAAGGCCAGCTGGTGGCATGGTGGTTAAGGTGGCTATATCCTATATGGCCAACTGAGTGGTTAAGAGTCCTGGACCTGATGGCTTGAAAAATATGCCAGGCATGGGACCAGCAGTTAGCATAATGGCTAAGTCACTGGACTCCCACGTAGTCGACTGCGGTTCGAGTCTCGGACCCAGTGGCTTAAACTCACGCTGGGCGCGTGTGCGTGCGTGCCCAAGATCCCGAGAGGAGAATGGAGGAGAAGGGATTGCGGCATGGCCATCCCCCCAGGGGGTAATTTCTCGCTTTCTGTCTCTCTGTCTGTCTCTGTCTGTCTGGCAAGCGCAAAAACCTCTCCAAAAAAAAAATAAAAAAACATGCCAGGCATGTGTGCGTGCATGGCCAAAATCCTGAGAGGAGAATGGGGAGAAAGAATTATGTAGTTAACCCCCCAAAGGGTAGTGATTTCTTACTTTTTCTCTCTCTTTCTCCAGTGAGTACACACACCTTAGAGCAAAAACTGAAAACAAAATAAAAGCCAACTAGAATTTTTCAACCTCAGCACTAAGAACATTTTGGTCACATAACACTTTGCTGGGGGGACAGGGGTGGTGAAGTGGTTGTCCCGAGTACTGCAGAATGTTTAATAGTATCACTGGTCTCTGTACCTACAAGAAACCAGCAGCAGCCTCTCCCACTGCAATAGCTTAAAAACATTCAGACATTGCCGAATGTCACCTGAGGGGGTAAACACCTCTTCTGACTGAGTATCCCTTCCCTAAACTGACTTTTCTTGGACAAAACGCTTACTAGCATCACTGGCCTCTACCCATAAGAAGCCAGTAGCAGCCTCCTCCATTTTGACAGCTCTAAAAACCTGAAGATAATGCCAAGCATCTCCTTGGGAGCAAAAATCTGTCGTAACTGAAAAGTGCTGCCCTGAACTGACTTTTCTTAGAGAACAGAGGTGTCAACATGGCAAAGGTGATCAATAGTCTCCTGTGCTGACCATCCGCCAGGTGAAAGATGAGGAGGGAAGTTGATTTGGACTACATCAGGTAATACTGTTTAGGGAGTATGTAATTGACAAAAGTAGGCTGGAGTGACACTCAAGGGAGGATAGCATTCAAGGGACCTGAGATGAATTCACTTCTTTGCAGTACCAGAGTTCCAGACTTTAGGACTAGGTTGTATTAATATTTTTCAGAGCTTGATTTATTCAGTGCCTCTAAAATGACCAGGTAGAGAAATACAGGATGCAAAACAAATTAATGCTATTAAACCCTCTTCAAATCTTTTTTAAAAGAGACATTTAAAATTAAAGAAACCGACTGAAACATTAAGGCACAAATGGGGGTGGAAAAGGAAGAGAAGGGTTGGGGAAGGAAGGGTTGAGGCAGAGAAAGGAAAAGGAAGGAAAGTGGGGCGACGGGGGTTGAAGAGGAATTGCGCCGATATAATAGTACAGGAAACTACACTGTGGATAGCAAATAGAAAGGGCTAGAACCTTGGCTTGGTACCCACCGGTGGTCGACACAACGTTCTCGGGGCTTTCGCTGCAGAGCTTTGACAACAAACTGGTCTTGCCAGAACCGGTGAGACCTATGCAAACCAGGTCATATTCTGGTCGTGCCGGTGGTGGTCCCTTGCAGCAAAGTGCTCTAAAACACTGCCGAGAGAAAAGAGAAGCATGGTTCTTATAAACACGATAAAACTAGGAAACAAATCTTAGGAACATTTAAAACTACTGAGTGAATATTTAGGAGTGACTTAATATCCTACTAATCATAAAAAGGAAAATGGTAACTTTAACGTGAGAACACCTGTGAAGGTCCCCACCTTAACCAAGTAACCGGGCATCTACCCCACACCTCCCTCCGCATGGTCGCAGGTGCTGTGCGTGCGCCGTGACGTCATCACGCAGCGCTCCCCTCCCCAGCGCGGACCTGAATCCAAGCCCCAGCGGAACTGGTGAAGCCGCTCCCAAAAGCATCTGGAAGACAACTGGGCCATTTCCTCTAAAAGATCAGTGTCTTAAACCACAAAGAAAGACTTCTTTCACTGTTCCAAGGTTAAAGAAGATTAAAACGACATAATAATGCAAAGCAATGCATCTTGGTTTGAATCCTGAATCAGGAGGAAAAAACGGCCATCAATGACATTTTTGGCACATGAGATGAGGGCTAAACACCGAGAGTACGAGATAATGGTGCTGCATAAAGTTAAATTCTTAAATTCAATCACTGCACTGTTTTGATTTTGAAAGAATTATTTTATTTCACTTTGTTTATATATTTTAATTTGACCAGAGAGGGGGAGACAGTGAGTAAGAGAGAAGGAAAGTGAAAAAGCAAGCCACTAGGTCCAGGACTGGAAACACCGTCAGCCATGTGGGAGACCAGCCCTCTTAACCACACCACACCACCTGCCAGCCCTTGTACTGTGGTTTTTATAAAAAGAAAAAAAAAATGAAAAATTAAAAAAAATATTGGTGAAAAGCTTGCTTTTTTTGGTAAAAGTATGTTTATTTCTTACATGAGAGAGGGAGACAAAGACGTAGACAACCTCAACATGACTTTACACCCTGACCCAACTCCTGACCTCAGCTAGTCAGGATCACTGGCATGCACGCACACCTGGCTGCACAGAGAAACAGTGGGATGTAAACCCGAACTCCCTCCCCCACGGTTGCAACATCCGGAGGCACTGCGGACCACTGCATTACTACTGCAGCATTGCGGCTGGCCCCAGAAGTGAAAGGTTTTAAATGTCTGCAATTAACTGCCTCAGAAAAATTTTAAATCTCTATCTCAGTCTCTATCTCCATCTGGTGAGCAGTGTGATAAAGTGAACATGGCAAAATGTCAGTGACAGGTTAATCCAAGTGAGGAGTCTAGGGAAGTCTTACAAGAGTTATAGTCTTATAACTCTCTGACATCACTTCAAAATGGAGATTTTTCTTTTCTTAAGAGATTTTTTTGCTGTAGGGTGCTTGTGCTCACCAGGGACACAGACACAGAGAGAGAAAAAGTGAGAAACCACCTCTTCGATGGGATGGCCACACTGCAATCCCTTCTCCATTTTTCTCAGGAGTTTTGGCACACATACACCTGACATGAGATTTGTGCAGCCATATCCAAGACTCGAACCATGGTTAGCCATGTGTGAGTACAATACTTTAACCACTATACCACCTGCTGCCTCCTGCCCCACATAGAAAGATTTTTAAAATCACTAAATAGAGCCAACAGGTGGTAAGGCAGTCAAAATGCTGGATCCCACATGGCCGACCCTGAAGTTCAAATCCAGACCTAGTGGCTTGAAATATATGCCAGACGTGTACCCAAAACACTCAGAGGAAAATGGAGGAGAGGGACTTACAGCATAGCCATCTCCCCTGGGGCATGATTTCTCACTTTCCTTTTTTTTTTTTTGTTTTTGGAGAGATTTTCACTATAGGGCGCATGTGCTCGCCAGACAGAGAGAGAGAGACATAGAGGCAGAAAGCGAGAAATCACTCCCCAGGGGGGATGGTCACGCCGCAGTCCCTTCTCCTCTATTCTCCTCTCGGGATCTTGGGCATGCACGCATATGCGCCTGACGTAAGTTTTAAGCCACTGGGTCCAGGACGCGAACCATGGTCAACTACGTGGGAGTCCAGCGACATAGCCATTGCGCTAACTACTGGTTCCCTCACTTTCCTCTCTCTCCTCTCTCTGTCTCTAACTTTCTCTCTCCAATGAGCACACACATCCCTTATGGCAAAAAAACTTAAAAACAAAACAAAAAAATCACTAAATAGTCCCTGTACACATACTGCCTTCTTAGCCTTTGCTAAATTATGTTCCAGCTCAACTGACCTCAGGATATTATGAACTGCAATGCTCTGTAAGAATTAAATACAAAGGGACTTGGGGGAAAGGATATCATTCATACAGTTTTTGATCATTCTACTTATCCCCCATACATTTACTAGGGACCAACTATGTGCCAGCTTGTAGAGCCTGAAATATTTAGGCCCCGAATGATTCACGACAGAGAGAAAGAGGGCGAGGGGGAGGCAAAGAAGGAAGGAAGCAAATCTACTCACTTCTGGGTCATCTGGAAACCATGAGAGAAGAGACCTATAAAAAAGCCTGTGTTGATTCTTCTTACCAAGATAAAATCTAAGTCCTAATTGGCTGCCATACTCTCATAAATCAGGCTTGATGATTTCTCTCCCTCATTTCTCATATCTATTCAACCGGTCTGGTCCATATAACCACTGAAATAGGTCTAGAATCTGTCCATTTCTTTCCAAGCCAGGCAGTTGTCACCTGGACCTTAACATCTTCTCATGGGTGCCAGCATAATTACTCTTGCCCTATTTACCACACAGCAGCCACTATGATTGCTTTTAAGAAAAAAAAAAAAAATCAGATCATATCTACTTAAATCAATGCAGTGATTTTCCTCTATACTTGGGCCTAAACCCTTCTCATAATCTACAAAGTCCTCTACGACCTGCTCCAGTCAACCCCCAGTCTCATCACCCTCTCCCACCCCATTCCAGCCATGCTGAACCTCTCTCACTTCCAGACACTGTTCTCTCTTCCCCAAACTCTTGACTAAGTCAACCCCTTACTAATTTTTAGCTCTCAGCTTAATCCCTCTTTCCCCAGGGCAGTCTACGCCGATACTAAGACTGTGTTGGTAATTTGTGTCAAGCTGTCATAGCACTTTCTGAATTCTTCACACAGATGATGACAGTTCCCTGTCATCAGACTGTGGGAACCATGTCTGTCCATCCTCATCTCAGTAACTCTAGTGCCTGGCACAGAACATGGCACAGACTCTATCCTTAAAACAAAATTGTTTAATTGTTCAATTTCACCTAAGGAAATAAAAAGAGAACATAAAAGGTAATAAAACCCAATGATTTATGCTCTCACTAGGCCACCCACACTTCAAAAAAATAATGTCAAAATAGTAGAAACCCTTGACTTTTTCTCTTCACTTCAGTGCCAGAAGTTATTCAAGTTCCCAAAAAAGTAGTTCTGATGTACAGGATCTACTTTCTTGGTAGATTATAGCTTCTTTTTGTCCTAAATTCACTTTTTCTTATTTTTTTTAAGAGGCTCTGCCTACTTCTGGTAAACAGTTCAATGATCCATATTCTTCATGGGTTTATTAAATTCTAATCACATTTTCTCTCAGTCTTTTCAAGCCAGAAGAGTCCTAATTATTTCAGTCTGCCTTCATATAGCAACCCCTCCTGCTCCTTCATCATATTAGTTGCTCTTCTTTGGCCCTGCTTTAGTTCCATTATGCCTTCTCCTTCAAAATTAATGACCACAGCTATAAACAGCCTTTTAGATGCCAACACATCCCATCCCAGATTTGATCAAGACTCGCTGATAGTGTCTGGTATTTTGCAAACGTTTTTCCATGAAAAAGCAAGCCTTCCAGACTCATGATGAGAGATTTTCTCATAGACAAGTTTATATGTGTGCATGCGGGCACGCGCATGCGTGTGTGTGTGTGTGTGTGTGTGTGTGTGTGTGAATGTACTTTCTCAAAGATGGCCACGAGCTAGCAGCTGTTCTCATTGAGGAGAGGTCTGCCTTGTTTGGCTGTCACAAAGAAACACTGGTCATACAGTTTCTCTCATTGGGCTGCTTTGGTTTTATTGGGAAAGTGGGAAGAGATGTTATTCTTGCTGTGGAGACCCCCATTCTCACTGAGCTCCTCTGCTGGGATTTCTCCATATGACCTCCTGGAGAGGGACTAGTCCAACTACCCTGGTCTGAACAATGGTAAAGTTCCAATACATAGTGAAATTGCATGTGACTGACTGCTATTGTACCCTGTTTAAATTTATCCATATACCAGGATCAGCAGTTGGCATAATGGCTATGTCGCTGAACTCCCATGTAGTCAACCATGGTGAGAGTTTTGGACCCGGTGGCTTAAACTCACGCTGGGCGCATGTGTGTGCGTGCCCAAGGTTCCGAGATGAAAATGAAGGAGAAGGGATTGCGGCATGGCCATCCCCGCTGGGGGGTGATTTCTCGCTTTCTATCTCTTTATCTCTCTCTGTCTGGTGATCGCATGTGCCCTATAGCAAAAACCTCTCAAAAAAAAAATTATCCATATACCAATACCACTCAATATACCATGGCCAGAAGTTCCGTAATTTCATCTTCAGTTGTTTTTGTTTTGTTTTGTTTTTAATTCAGAGTGCAGGAGCCAGTTAGTGGTGCAGTGGTAATAATGTGATGCTCTGTAAAGCTGATCCACATGGGTATGTTCCAGGTCCATGCCCAGAGGAAACCTCCCTGAATATGTCAAGTGCATGCATACCCATGATCTGGGGTTGGCTGAGGCTAGAGGTAGATCTAAGCATCAAGACCCTGTTGGAGGTGTTTGTTCTCGTCCCCCCCCCAAAATAAAATTTTTTTTAAAGTCCAGAGTATAAAAATTTTGTAGCCAAGCCCGTTGATAGCTATATCATTTGCCAATTTATTCGAAGTCACATCATATACTTCTGACATAAAAGACAATTTAGCGATGAACTTACACTCTCTTTTCTCTTCCCTCCCCCTGTATTCTTCCTAGTAAAATCATCTCTACTCCCTTGGTTTTAATCGTACAGAATGTAAAGACACCCAACATGCTATCTCCCCCCAT